CAGCAACTTTTTGTTGAATTTAACAATATGGGTTTTTATCCCTTCTCCTTTTGCTTTAGAAACATTGTGATCGGCAGAAGTCAAACCTACGGATACGCTTCAGGCCTTCTCTCTTCCAGCATGTTGGCCTCCACTCCTCCCTGGCAGGAAAGATCCAGAAACTCACAGTTAGTAGCTACACTTCTCCTTCCTTTCCAGAACAAATTGATCTTGTGAATTATTTTTTTTTCAGTCTTTGAGAAAAAAAGAGTTTTCTTGTTTAGTATTTTTTAATTATGTGTTATTCCATTTGGAATGAACCTGGTATAAACTGGTTACTATCAGGTATAAGAAATACCAATCTCAGCTTATTTTTATGAATATTTACTAGTGGGAATATGTTTTAATTTTTTTTTTTCTTTATTACTTTTTCTTTATTTATTACTTTAATGGAATGCTCCTCTTATTACCTAATACAAGATCTGAAATATCTGGAAATGAGTGACGCATTTTTATTTTTTCATTTTTTTTTTCCTCTAGGAGTTCATTTTAAGTGTATCCACTTGAGAAAAACGTAATAAAACAGCATGATGTTTTTCTTTCTTTCAATTAGGATAAAGACTTTCTGAAACCGCTGCTGCATAAAATCCACGTGAATCCACCTGCAGAGGTTTCCACATCTTTAAAAGTGTACCAGGGGCACACGTTAGAAAAAACATATGTAGGGGAAGACTTTTTCTGGGCTGTCACACCGGTTGCTGGGGATTATATTCTATTTAAATTTGACAAGCCTGTCAATGTAGAAAGGTTAGTAATTATTTGGTTTTGGTCTCATATCTAAGGCTGTATGCTTGCCAAGAATGCTTGACAATAGAATTGGGGGCTGTCGTAATAAACTAAAGTGAAATCATCCTGGTTTATTTGCAGTTTAGGTGAAACTGATCACGAGCAACTTTTCCTTCCAAGCCTTTACTGCTTTAAATGTTATTTTCCTCTTTATTTCTGCTTTTAATTTTACTGGAGCCTTTTTGATAAATGCAATTCAAGACCAATGCTTCTATGGCAGCTCATAAGGGAATCCAGAGAAGCCAATTTGGCTCTATTTGTACTTGGATGGTCTGCTTCTAATTACAATTTCAACTGTGCAGCGCAGTGTGTGGTACAGTATGTTGTGCCCTGCAGCCTCAGCCTCAGTGCATTGATTGTCCAGACCTGAAGTCTTGCTGGAGCATATGGTGTCCTTTTACCTGAAATTTGGGAACTCTAAAGGTTATTATTATTATTTTTTTTTCAGATTCTGCTTTAGGGCTTGGAAAAGAGTTAAAAGTTCAAGTTGGCCTATGTAATTAATTTTAAAAATAGGCTTGAAATGAAAGTACCTGTGATTTGCTAGAGAGCTAGAGGTGACTTTATCTACTAGAGTTATTAGTCTTCCTTTACTTTTGCTGAGACTTTTTGCAGCTTTGTTATTTACTGTCCTACCAACATAGTAGTCTAAGACTTAAAAATTATATTGCTTATGCAGTGTCCAAGCATTGCTACTTTAATGGATTCCTTTCACTTTTCTTCACGTACCTTATATGCTTTTTTGAGGCCAGTACCTCTAGTACAGTAGAGAAGGTTTCTTTGGACGATTTGTCTGGATGCTTTTCTTGTGAAGGAGCCCTTTTTGCAGACCTGAACTGAATCCAGTTAGTCAACTTCTGCACATTGCTACGTAATCAAAGACTAAGTGAGGATCAGTAGTTTCCTTGTTCTATGTTTTTTCAAGCTGGTCTGACCTATGAAACTCAAGTTTGTTGTGCAAGATGTCAAATTACTCTTTCAGTTGATTAGTGTGCTTTAAAAGATTTTCCTGGATAGCTTCTAAGATGTATGCGTTGAGGGGTTTGACTGCCATACTTCTTGGATTAAAAGCAGATTGTTTTTTTAATCCTATGCCAATAGTATAAAAATGATACATTTTCCAAATGAAATGTATGAACTCATTGATTCCTTTTCGATCAAATTTTCTTCTTCAAGGTTATAAAGTGATCTTTGTCAAATTTGTTTTTATTTTCTGAATTATTTATTTTTTTATTAAGAATTATATGCTTCTATTTTATAAATAGGGTAACTGTAGCAAGTAAATGTTGATCTTGGGTGGAACATTGTTGTTTCATTAGGGTGAGTCAAGTATGTAATGACAATTCCGTTAGCAACAGGACAAGTTGCTAGAGGAAGAGGGTAGATTTACACTAGATATTAGGAAGGAATTCTTTACTTTGAGGATGGTGAGACACTGAACAGGTTGCCCAGCAAGATTGTGGATGCCCCCTCCCTGGAAGCATTTAAGGTCAGGCTGGATGGGGCTTTGAGCAACGTGGTCTAGAGGGAGGTATTCCTGCCTATAGCAGGGGGGTTGGAGCTAGGTGGTCTTAAAGGTCCCTTCCATTCTATGATTTTGTAAACTGTTGCTAGCAAGTGTAGTAGGTCATCCCTGTGGTGTGAAGAAAATATGCATTTGGTGTGTATCACCATCATGGTGAAGGAATTGGGGGTAAAAGTAAATGCTGATGATCTCTGCGAAAGATGGGAAGACAGTTATCATTATCGTGCTCTTAAAATTTGTAGCTAGGGCTAAGACTGTTAGAAGCAGTCCTAGCAGTAGAGGATTATATGATTATTTATTTTACTATTTTTACATATTGATGAAAGTAATTTTAGGTTAGATGAAGTGTTTTGAATCCAGTTGCTTCCTCAAAGGAAGTTCACAAGTTAGAATGATTTTATATTTTCAGACTTAAAAAACTAGGTACAGAGTCATTTGAACTGTCATTTTAGGCCATTTTGGTATTCATTCATTTGTGTTTCTTTGTCACAGGGTCATAAAAAATACAGTATTCTGCCTTTCTGCAGTCAGTAGCTGATCAGGGCTACAAACACTGTCATTTCAAATTGTTGAGGACTTGGTTTTGTTTGCCTACTTAAATTCCTCAGCAGCAGATTTTTGTAGATGAAGGTTGGGTAAAGAAATTGTGCTTCCTTATATTTCAGTGATGCTTTTTGAGGCAGCCAAATGTAAATCTTGATAAACAAGCTTCTTAATGGAAATACTGACCACAACTGGCAGAATGAATGGCAGGTCTGTTACAGTGTGACAGAGTAGTAACTTGTTCCTAGAGTTTATTTTTCCATGCCAAACCTTTTTTGCAGAACTGACCTGAAATTTTGTGTTGAGTAGAGCAATTCTGTAATTAACTGTCATCAAGCCTTTGAATACTTCATTTTTGAGACCTGAGAATATTGTCAGAGATAACAGAGGCAAGAATTTCTTAGTAACCTCGAGTGAGATCTGAACTCATGTAGTAGAGCAGAAAAGAACATTTGTGGCTGTTTTGTGTTAAACCTAGATGGCTTATCCCTCTGAATGCTGAAAATCAGACATTGATTGTTCTAAACCACACCTGAAGAAGGAGAGAGGTGTATAAATTGAAACTGTCTAATGTTCACGTTAGTAACAGCTCTTATACTGAATCTTTTCAGTCATTTCCAAGTGAAAGATTTCCAGCCAGAACACTGAAGTCCCATGATAATAAGCTAAATTCTCATTCTTATTTTTGCAGTAATACAAAGATGCACACCACTGTTACAATAGCACGTCCTTCAGACTGAAAGTAGATCCACTGACTTTCTTACTAAGGAACAAATTGCTCACCACTGTGGGAGGTTTATTTTTTTCAAATGGATGGACTACTTTCTGAATAAATGTAGGCTCAAAACAGCCTACATTGTAAAGACAAGAAATACTGCATTTCTTTTCCTTTAGGTCACTAGATAATTATGAAAATTCACTTTGCTATTTCATTATATACTGTTGTTCCAGTCTCAGTTATTAAAGCTCATATTTAAAAGTTACATTATGATATTCACATTACTACTATTTGAATTTACATTAAGCACTAGCATTAATTCTGTTTACTATAAATAACTATAAATATTACTTTTCTTTGCCAGTTACCCTGTTTCTTCAGAGAGGTTAGTGATGGGTGTTGAGCCCAAGGAGCTCATTGTGAACAGCTTTGGACACTGGAATTTGTTCTTTGAAAATACCAAGTAACACCAAGGAAGCCTTTGGAACTACCAATGGACATTTTGTTTAGGTCATCCTTTCTATATAACTGCTTAGCAGTGTTAGGGTATTTTCAAAAGGATTAGCAGAACTTGTGTTTTCTTGGGTTTTGTGTGTAGATTTCTTGTTTTTACACTCCTCTGCTTTTAACTCCAGTTGCCTCATAGCTGTGGCCTTGTTTTTAACAAGTTATTGGGTAGTCCTCAAAACATGCCGTTGATGGTTAATAAAGTGGTTTTATGAGGTGGACTCTGCTCTCTGCCATTTCATCTTTAAGCTAGAATCTTGATAGTTGGACAAATCTGCTTGTAGATTACATTTACTACTTTGTATTCTGATGTTGGCATAGCCACTTGAGGTGCAGTATTTGAGAATAGTGATCCAATTTTCTCTGCTGTTGACCCTGGGATCCCAGGGAAGGAACACGTGCTGTTAACCTTGTGAGTATGTCCTGTGGTAGCTTCTCGTAATGTAGATATCTTGCGTCAGTGGGAATGATGTATTTGATTGTTTAAACTTGAAACTTATTGTATTGTGTATTGTCTGGCAGCTGATAACCAAACATAATGAGTTACTTTGCTTTGAAATTATTGTGACAGTGCTGAAAATTACCTATTTAAAAAGTGGTGGCTGCTGTCCTGCTATTAAGCACACATCGTTATAGTGGAAGAGCAGCGCAGCTTTAAAAGCTGTTCATTGTAGAAGCAAGCTCTCCCTCAGCATGGTGCAATACAGCCTGCCTTTCCTGTGCAGTTCTAGCTGACATAACACATGCACACAACTGCACAGTGCACAGTTTAGAAATCATCTGTATTCTAAACGCGTAGTTATAGAAAAGGTTATTAAAATGTAACTTACTATCATTTTTTAAGCTTTAATTCTGATATCAGTTGGTAGGAAATATTTAGAAGTCTGATAAAGTTATTAAAGTTTTAGTGCTTCAGAGCATTTCAGTTGGGCTAATGTTTTCAATGTGGGAGGGTGGGGGGAAAAAAAGAAAAAAGAGGAATTGAGGACTTGGTTTCTGTGTTTATATAAGCTTCTGTACTAATGAGTAGAACATCCTCAAATGGATACACTGACAGCAGGGACTTGGCAGGCAGGCTCCCAGCCACTGATGCCGGTTGCTCCGAGCATGGAACTATGCCTGCAGTGATGAGGCAAGTGCTTCATCTGAAAAGAAAAGAAAGCATGGATCAGAGACAGAAGAAAAGAGCTGCCTGAGCCAAGGACATGCTGCTTCCTCCTTAATGGCACTAATGCTCCAGATTTGTGTGTTTGGCAGTGTTCCTGGGCTTACTGTTCTTGGTCAGAAATATTGAGAGGCTTAATGCAGTTGCCTGAATGTTAGGTGTCTAATGTGCTACCCTGAATTACTTAATTTGATTTCCCAAAGGGCTTGAGTGTCTGATATGTCATAATTGCATCCGGCATCCTGTGAGGTTGCCCACACCCAAGTGCATCTCAAATGTTAGCAAATGCCAGTGTTTAAGAAAACTAACTGGAGCACTTCTGGAGAAGTGTGTGTGAGCGTGTGTGTCTGTATGAGGCCTACTATGAAAGTAATGCCTCCTACGTTATGATGTTGGCTCATGATGTCAGAAGCAGATGTTGGTGGGATGGCAGTGGAAGTTGATCCTTCCCACGAATATTCCATTACATGCTGTTGTCATGTGAGAGATGGCAGCAGAGGGGTGGTCTGACACTATGGGGTCTGACATGAAAGTGCGGATGGAGCAAAGGTTTTTGCAAAGGAATGGATAAGTGACCTAAAGGATAGGAAAGAAAACGGAACGTGGAAAAGAAGTTATTAATCTTCCTTTTATATTTTATACAAGAAAAACATGGAAAGTAATGCACAGTCAATGCACGTTTGCAGTAGCAGTGAAAATAACATTTCCTAATGAGGGTTCTGGGAAAATGACAGAGTGGGGTTACATTAGATTTCTTTTACCCTATTTGCATCCGGAGATCAAAAAGACAGGATGGATTTGGTGGATAATAGCTCTTGCAGAGGTGACAGTATTTGTGGAGAGCCCAAACCTTGCTGACTGACTGTTACTTTCATAGACATTCACGTTATGCAGAATTAATAACTGGTATGTTCCCTGGTGCTGGGGTACAATTTGTGCAAATGTGGAAGGAAACGTTTCCGCTCTGCCTTCCTCTCTCTCTTCCTTTCTCTGAAAATGGAATATACAAAGGTATATCAAATTGCTAAACAGAGACACGGGAAAGCACAGAGAAAAAGATTTGATTCCTGTTATTTACAGAAGACAAAGGCCTACATTCATAAATAGATTCCTAGAATATTTGTGTTGAGCATCAAGTGAGATGAGTCTGTTTTCTTCAAAACAAAAAATGCATTGGCAGTGGCTGTGAATTTCGAATTTTTAAGATTTTTTCTTGTATTATTTCCTTTCATAAAGCTGCTGTTTACTGATAAGCTTGTAGTGTTCTGATCTATGCTCTCTTTGTAATGGCTCAACAAAACAGAAGATGCATAGAGTTGCACGTTGTGTTTAAAAAAATGGGAATGCCAATGATTCTAGTTTTTAATAAAGTATAAGAGACAGTGAGACAGACTTCTGAGTGCCTGAATAGAAACAAATCTGGAAATTTAGACTCAGTTCTCTGAGTCTCAGTGTGTGGGAAAGAAGATAGAGACGTCCGCTCCATAAGCAAAATACAAAGAGAGTAAAGAGTTGAAGTTAGCTTAGCACACTGCTGGCTCATGGCCAACCTGTCGTCTACCAGGACACCCAGGTCCCTCTCTGCAGAGCTCCTCTCCAGCAGCTCATCCCCTAACCTGTACCGGTTTGACCTCAACCACTTCAAATTAAAGAGAGTCTGACAGTGAAAAAGGTTCTCTGAAGTTGAGGTACATCGGTATTTCATTTACTAGCTGTGAGTCAGAGTTGCCTTTTGCTGATGATTTCCATCAAGAATGTCCAAGTTGCCCACCTGTGTTTTGGAATTAAAGCAGACTGTGAAGTAATGTTCTACAAGGCAACTGTGGTTTTATAACTTCAGGTTAATATGCATTTGCTGGGATTATTATACTTAACAGGCCTGTGGCTTTCAGAATTCTAATTTGGAAGAATGTTTCAGAAGGCATTATGTTTAAGTAACAAATAGACAAAAATGTTTTTGATTCCATCCTGGGGAAAAATATCAGCTAAACAAAGTGGAGAAAAAAAGGCGCATGCTTTTTAGTATTTCCGAGGGCTGTTGCTTATAAATCCCAGGTCAGATGTCAGAATGCCTTAACCAAAAGCACAGCAACTTTGGTGGCTTTCTGTCTCCAGAAAAACATTCTGTAGCCTTGAAAGCTTGTGATTTATCAGTGTGTCAAGGAAAGGAGCTTCATAAAAGAACAGCTAATTGAGGCTGCTTTTAGGAGCTGTAGAACAGCCGCTCATTTGTAAATTAAATGTTATTTCAAAGTGAATTTTCTAATTCATAAACTGTATTTCTAAGCAGAAGATTGATTATAGATATGAGCTGTGTTATGTGCATTCATGCTTCTATTTTTCGTATCTGTGCAACTGCTGTCAGAGTAGGTGTTATCTGACAAGTGTTCAGGCAGGGCTCAGATATAAAAATATCCCTTCTGTTCTAAACATAATCTTAAATAAGATGTGACATATGCATATGTGATATGTATGTGCATATGATAGACAGATATAGAAAACAGACTGAAAAAAAGTGGGCTTGATTACGGAGAAATAGTTTTCATTACTTCCCATAACGGTTTCAGCATCTTGCCAGCTTTTAAGCTGGATGCCTTCCTGGCATGGTAAGTTCTGGGACTGGGGCAGAAACCCCACCTGAGTTTCAGAAGTCAGCACAGTAGGAGAAATGGCTGCTGTGGCAGTAGGGCTGCTCTTGAAACAAAGCAGAACCCAACCACTGCTTCCCCCAACACGGACCACCTCCGCAGTGTTGTCTTCCACTGGGAGCTCACGATCACAGAGGTGCACACAAGTACATGCGGTGTTGGAGCTGACCAAATCTAGTTGTATTGCAGTTCAATGTGGGAAGTTCTGCTGAAATCAGTGCAATGGGGATCAGTGTAGCTTTCTGAGACCTGAGTGTATGATTTGGACTCTGCTGAGCCTTGATAAATGCTACCTGCCTCTGTGTGTTAGTGTGTTTTTAAATTAATTCCTATTAGCTTATTGCCACAGACATTTCTAATTCAGGGTCAAAGGGCTCTGTTCTCCTTCTTGACTTGTAGCTATAGAGTGTGGATTAATGGCAAGTATTTACCTAGCTTCAGACATACTGGATAAAGACAATCTGGAATTGACATCTGCAATTATGTCTTAATAAATTGCAAGTGGAGCTAATGTTTGTAATTTTAATCAAGTGATAATTTCTGAACTAATTTTGTCCCTGGCTGGTGATGTGTTTAATGTGGAAGGTAGTGCTTAATGTTTATTTCTCTAGTTTCCAATTGAAGGAAGGTTTGAAATGTGTAGATAGATTTTTTACATATTCATTTGAATGTATTAACAATAAATTAGGTTTGTTAAAAGTGTCTTTTGAGTAGGTGTAATATACAAGCAGTTTTCAGACAGTAATCTGATCAAACACCTCTGTGATCCCCTAGAAAAAAATAAGAATGAGCAACTTTTCAAGCGTTGATACCACCTAGTGGTAATAAATATTGTTACTTATTTACGTATGTATGTCTATTTGGTATCAAGAGGTATGAAGTTTGTGTTTATACATAAAGAAAGAGAAATTAAAGCCTGTCTTTTGTAACTGACTATCTACAGGTGTGTAGTACTGCAAAAACTGTTGGTGAGGGGGTAGTTAGAATTCTAAGACTTGCACTTCACTACTTAAAAATAATAGGGAAGGTTTGGTACAGTTTAAAATGTATTTGTTCTTTTGCATTACAAAAAATCATTCATTACTCATCTGAATGAGGTTAATGGGGACTTTCTACAGGTACGTAATATAATAGTCCTTTGTACATTTAAAAATAAAAAACCCCACAACACACAATTATGTTAACAAAGAAAAAAATGTAGAGATATTGAAATAATAATCTGTCTCTGGAATAGAAGTTTGAATTCAGATATCATTAATGTATTGGCTGGGAGTTCCTGGCAGAGTTGTTAATGAGGCTGTGCAAAGAACCAGAGCAGAGGTCAGGTCTCAGAGAAAACTAATCTAGCAGGAGAGTCCATGCAGATAGGTTTCCTGACCTGGTTCAGAATAGATCTGCAGAGTTCATTCTGGTGGCACAAGAATGGGCTGGCCTGACCAGACATGGGAAGCAAAGGAGAGAGGTTGGAAGTGATGCCAGCGCATACCTGGCAATAGTAGTTACAGTGTTGGCTTCTTTGTGTAATGCAATGGGTAGAGACCAGATCTAGGGATCTTCCTAGTAAAACGTTACTCAACTGCTCTTTAACAAGTGCCAAAGTTTTAGCTAGCCCTTTCTATTACAGTAGTATGTGAAACCACCTTTCACTTTTTCAATCATCAATTGATGTAGGTCTAGTGTAAAATTTGTGTTTATTATTATAACTCAGATGAAGTGTTTAGTAATACATAAGGTGGTAACATAGCTATTGATTGATTGATGGTTGATATATGTAGACTGTCTTATGTTTCCTTTTTATTTTATAGGTACTTGTTCCACAGTGGCAATCCAGAGCATCCAGGAGATATACTGCTAAACACAACCGTGGAAGTTTTGCCTTTTCAGGTATGAACACATTGATTTGTTTCTCCTTCATTATAGGATAAAAGCAAAGCCTCATAATTGTATTGACTTCCCTTTTTTAACAGAGTAAGACAGACAAGATGGTTTCTTTTCTAACTGCAGCCTTTTGATGCTTGTACTTTTTTTAAGGTTGGCTCTATTCACAGAAAATTATTGGAACTATTCACATAATTCCTTTAGAATGCAGCCTGCTACAAGTATTGATGGTAATTTGGAGGTGAACAACTTTGTTTTCTTCCAATTCACTGTTACTATTTAAAACAAAAAATAACCGAATAATCTGCCCTTTCCTGTGTGTTTTGGAAAAGGAGAAAGCTAAATCAGTCTCCTTTTTGACCTAGTTAAGAAAAAAAAAGACAACTTGGTTCAGGAATTGACATATATCCAGACCTGATCACAAATCCTTACAGATTTTTCAGTATCTGGATTC